AGCATGTGCAGCTGCAGCACGGCAGCCATCTTGGCCACAGCCTTCCAGATGCTGACCTCAAAGCTGTTCCTGCGCTCAAAAGCCTATTCCGGTCAACGTCTGGCTGATGTGCTTTTTCCTTGCAGGAAGTTTGAGAGCAAGCCTTGCTAGGCTAACGCATTGTGCCTCACACCATAATGAGAATTCAACAATGCAAAGACTGGCTGGCTGCCCATGGCAGCACAGGCATCGACCATTGCAACCTGTTGCTGTGGCAGTAGCCTGCAAAGGTCAAGTGCAGAAACGTGTCAAGTGCTGAATAGCTTAAGCCTATTTTGTGCTGCAACACATGAAAGGTATACAGACCTGAAAAGCCTGAAGAAGCTAAATGGTGACAAGCCTGAAAAGGCTGAGTGCTGCCTCAAAGCTGATGGCTGCAACTGGGAACTTTTCTCTGCCATGGGCAAATCTAAAGGGCAAGCAAGCTTTCTTTGGCTTGCTGCGTGGTCTCGCCCGCCTTAGTTCGTGCAGGTGCACGTGCTGTCTTCATCTACGAACTTGGCCCAATAGCTCGTGCTGCACTGCCCTGTCAGCAATGCCTTGCTTGGCCAGCATGTTTTCCCCTTTGATCCTCAGATGCAATGCTGCCACCAAGCGCACCGCTTCCACCAATCTAGAAAGTCACAAAATGCTAAAACCACCAGAACTGGCCAGCCAAGCTGCCACTCACACCAGCCAGAACTGTAGACAATGCAGAAATACAATTCATTTTCATACACCTCCCAGCTCAGTCTGCCATGTCGCTGCCACCAGTGTGGGTTCTCAGGCAGCCAGCCCAGCCTTCTTGCCATGCCCCCACCATCAAACATTGCTTTGTGGGGACCAAGGCTTGAGCTTGAATAGGAGCATCACTCTCTTTGCAACATGCTGGCGCAGCTTGGTCATCTGAGAAGCCTGACAAGGCTGAGAGCACAACATGCTGGCAACACACAAACACACAGGAAACACGCACAAACACACTCAATGCTGCTCCCCCCCCATGAAGCCTGAAAAGGCTTATGTTATCGGAGGCGCGTGAACCCCAGTGAAAAGATGACGCAAGTTTGGCGGGTCTTGCAAAAGTTGTTGCTCTGAGCGGAACATGCATCTTCTTCAAGAAGCTAGAGACATTCGGTGTCATCCACACAAACTGAAAGTAGCTGCATGTGTTGAAGATGAAACAGATGATAGTTGCCTGACAATGCGCACTCACCAAAGCTGGCATCTGAAAACAACTTCATGAAGCTCTTTCAAGGCTGGCAGACATCCTTCGTGCCATCTTGTTCTGGCGCAAATAGATTGAGCCTGCGCATGGCAAAGCAATGCTTTGCAGGCAGGGCACCCTGAGCAGCTTTGTACAGCTGCACGCATGCAGCTCACTTTTTGCCATTGGCTGCGGCCCATTCCTTCCACTCACCTCTGCTGTAGAACTTTCTGCCAGAAAAGCCTGGCTTCCTGCATGCTTTGCATCCGTTGACGTTTCCCCTGCACCGGATGCATCCCCATGAGCCAGAGGCTGAAGGTGGCCCCGCGGCACTGGAGCCAGCTGTCGGGACTCTTGCCGCTGGTCTTTTCATGACTGCAGCTGGCCTCTTCATGAGGCTTTTGTTCTTGCCAACCTTCTTGTTCTGGCTTGAAGGAGGCTCACCTTTCTTCCTCTGCTTCTTTGCCTGGATGGACTGGAAAGCAGTCATCTCCCAGTCCTCTAAAGACTTCTCTTCCTTTGGTGCTTCCTCAGCCTTATCCTCCGGCTCAGCACTGGCTCCTGGCTGCTTGTCCTCAGGAACAGCTGGGGCGTGCTCTTGCTTTGCAGGCATCTCTTGGTCATCAAGCACATTCCTTCTTGATGGCACCAAGGGCAAACTACCGGTGCTCTTTGTCAAAAACTGGAGGTTGCAGGTGCCACCATTCAAGACATCCTTGCTTTGCTGCATGAAGCTTGCAAGCATGCCCTGCAGCATGTCCTGAGCTGCCACTTGCCAAAGCTGAGGAGCAGCTGTCGCCATGGGCAAAGCCTCCTGCTTCTTCGTTGCTTGGTTCTGCTGGGCCTCAACCTTGGCACCTCTCACCTTGGCAGAAGTAGACCTAACAGGCACATGGTACTGCACAAGGTTTGCCATCTCCGGGTAAGCTTTGGCCACAGGCTTGTCAGTACCATATGAAGCCTGCAAGTGGGCTTCGGGTAGCTGGAAAGGGTCTGCCGGATAGCATTGCAAGGCTGCAGCCCCAGGTGGAGCGGCAGTGGCACATGTCAGAAAGCAATGGCCCACATGCTGGCTCAGAAGGTAAATGCTTTCATGGCTAGGCCTAGCACCTCCTCTTGCCAGCTCACAAGAAATGAGCAAAGCTGTCACAACCTTCTTGGAAGACTCTTTCAAGCTCTTGACTCCCATCAGCCTCAGCCTCTTGCACACTACATGGGCACCCTCATAAGGGCTGCACTGCCCAAGCTTCTCATGCTCCCCTGCAGTCAGATAGTGGTTGATCCAGTCCACCTGCTGTGGCACTGCTGTAACCTTACATGGGCCACTAGCCTTCCCCATGCTCTTCTCATCCAAGATGTGCAGCATGGGATTCTTCATGGCATCGGGTAGGCCACTGCCCTTGACCAAGTCATACAACTGAACAAGTTGGGAGGGCCCGACAATCATGGCCTCAAGCTTGCCATTGAGGGCGCTGCCCAGCCCATGCATCAAAGGCTCATGGCCTGGCCGCGCCTGCAAGAGCTGTCTTGCAGACACCAGCTCAGACTCCATGTCAGCTACCGACCACATTGCTAGAGCAAGGTGAAGCCTGGACACCTGCCGCCAAAATAGCTACCGGTGTCAAGTGTCAACTTGGAGAGCAAGCTTGATTGGGATCCTCCTGCAAACACGCAGCCCTCAAACCAAGTGCAGCAGAATCCTAAAAGGCACTAGCACATTCAAATCACAAGGCAAACCTCCCACCAACAAAACAAATGTGCTCAGAAGATTTGAATTGCAAACGCACAAAAACAAACAGCCTGAAAAGGCTGAACCTGTCTCTATAGCAATGCTGTGCTTCACGTTGTTAGTTTAACAATGTAAAAAACAACTGATGCACACTCTGTCTTTGGAGATGCAAGGCTTCCAAACCTATTGAACTAAATTGCCAACAGATGCAAAACACTCTGAAGCCCGTGCAATGCTCCTTGGATGAATGGTTAAATGCGTTTGAAATAGAACTCATATTTATCTATGCAGCAGTTCGCAAGTCCCAGTGAAAGGCCATCCTTGTGAGACCATCCTAATCTGTAAACCTTCTTTCTCTGACTCGTCTGACAACTCAGCACATGCAGCTATAACAAATGCAACTTTCTGTGCAGCCATTGCAAAATGCAAGCTCAATCTGCTGGCATGCAGCCTGCTCACCCGCAATTACCTTGCAACCTGTCATGTTGGCTGGTTGTGCTGATACTGCTACACTCATGATGCTCTGTGTTTGTGTAGCTGGTGCATCTGTACATCCATAACTGGTCGAAAGCTATACTAATCATGTACAAGTTCAAGGAAGATTGTAAAAAACACATGCAATTTTAGGAAAGGTGTAGGCGCTACACCAAACCCCAAAAACCACAGCCGGTGAACACATGCATGTACAATATGATGATGCATAATTTACGAGGCAAGAATTTAAGTCTCGAAGGACTGGCATGTTGTGAGAAACATACGGAGTCATATGTCAAAATACCAAAGTGGATATCTTATCCTTCGGTTTCAAACATGAAAGATAAAAAATGCACTATCAATTTGGTGTGTCCATCCTCAAGAAAGATCACAAGACCTGCATAATCATAATGAGTTTCAACTTCAGAAATCTAAATTGGAAATCATGGAGCTACATTTCCACTTCAGCAAATTTGCATTTAGGCTTTAGATTCTTGATATTTTCAATTCAGAATTCTGAATTCAATTTATACACCCTTGATTTGTTCAATTCAGATTTCTGAATTGAAATTTCACAACCTTGATTTTCAATTCAGATTTCTGAATTGAAATTACACAACCTTGATTTTCAATTCAGATTTCTGAATTGAAATTACACAACCTTGATTTTCAATTCAGATTTCTGAATTGAAATTACTTAACCTTGATTTTCAATTCAGATTTCTGAATTGAAATTTCACAACCTTGTTTTTCAATTCAGATTTCTGAATTGAAATTTCACAACCTTGTGTTTTCAATTCAGATTTCTGAATTGAAAAAACATACCCCTGATTTTCAATTCAGATTTCTGAATTGAAAGTTTTGCCTTTAATTTTCCAATTCACATTTATGAAGTGAAAATTGATGCCCTTGTTCTTGCAATTCAGGTTTTATACATGAGAAATCATGCCTTTGATCCTCCAATTCAAAATTCTGAATTCAAACTTCATTCGGTTGGTGCTCAATTCAGATTTATGACAGTGATATCATCACTCCAGTGTGACTTAGAGTAACCATCACATGTTTCTTAACCTTTCTCATGCACGTTGGCATTTGTTTTTTTATTTTTATTTTGTTTTCAACCTCAATCTGTTTCAGTATACTTTTGCAACTGTGCTAAATGTGTAGACTCACACTAGGCATTTCTGACTAGTTCTAAACTCAAGAAATGAATCCTCCTGCTTCCTGGTGGTGCTGAGTGGCGCTGTTAAGCCTGCCAAGGCTGAACCATGTCAATCGTGTGGAAATAATCTTGAAATTGTGAGTAGGTTCGGCTTGAGCACTACTGTAAAAGCCTGTCAAGGCTGATAATGTCTCAGTGTCATCTGCTTTGTTAGCATCTACTGCTGATCTTGATTTCAAACATAGCCTGTTGAGGCTGACCATGAAAATGTGCAGCCTGCTGAGGCTGAAGCTCCACATGTAGCCTCGTGAGGCTGAACATGGATTGACAGCCTGCGTAGGCTAAACATGCACCTAAATAATCAGTTGGAGCAGCTTCTTTTTTCCTTCTTCCACCTCCTCCACAGTGACATGTCAGGCCTTCCAGCGGTCGCTTCGGCCAAAAGTGCTCATCTGCTGCATGTACTTGTCCACCCATGGCTGCATCGCCGCCTCGTCGTACATCGACCGGGCAGCTGCTTTTGCCTGGCCCCAGTCCTCGTTCATCACGTGCGCCACCAGCGGAACTGTCTTCATCTTCCAGCCGCTGCCTCGGTTGATCTTCTTCTTGTCCTGATGCAAGTCCATTTGGTGAGATCTAAAAAAAATCATTGGATGAAGCCTCTTGCCAGGCTAAAACACACCTCACAGCTATGCACAAGGTTGTCCAACACATCAAGATCATCCCAAGAGTTGCTACTAGTAAATGAGACAGATCAGTATGGATGAAGTCTAATGGGTTGCTCCTAATGGATTGCTCTCGGTTGGGTAAAATAGCCAGAAGCCTGCAAAACAAAGGCTGAGCTGGTCTGGCAAAAACATGCATGGCAGTTTCAGAAATACGGACATGCGGCGCAAACAAGTCCTGCGGGTAGATCTGGTTTGCATTCGGCTTCTGGGGATTGCTCCCCGTGGACTTCTCCGTGAACTTCTGCCGCTTGGCTGCTCGCTCCTCTTCCTCGGCCTCCTCCTGCATGCGCAGGACTTCGAGAAAGCTCTTGGCCTTTCCCTCTTCGCTGCCGTAGTCCTCCATGACCTCATCCTGCACAGCCTGGCTGCTTGGGTCCTCCTCCTCGCCACTCGCAGGGCTTGGTGGCACAAACCACTGGCCCTGCCATTCCTGCGGCATTATCATGCCTGCGTGCGGCTGCCATCCCCGCTCCGTCGGGTACGGCTTGTCCTCCGGCGCCTGCAGCTGTACCCACATAGCATCACGCCACACCCAGTCCCCGGCACCACTTGGCCAGACCCACTGGGGCTGTGCCCAGGCCACCTGCTCCTCAAGCCAAACCCATTGGCTTTTCAGCCAGGCCCACTCCTGCCTGCCCATACACCAGGCCCATTGGCCTTCTTTCCACACCCAGCCTTCCTCCTGCTCCGGCCGGCTTTCTTCCTGGCCTTTCTCCTGCTCCGGCCAGCTTTCTTCTTGACTCTTTTTGGCTGGTGCCACCTCTGTCTCTGTGGCGTCCGCCATCTCTTCTTCGGCCTTTGCAGCCTTGTCTTCTTCTGCAGCATCTGTAGCCACCGGGCTCGTTCCTGTGTTCTCCATGGCTTCCATGTCCGGCTCCGGGCCGGCCACTTGCAGCCTCGCTACCAGCTCCGCGAAGCTCTCCTCATCTTGAGCCATGTTGCTCGGTGCTGGGCACACTTGTCCCAAGCAAGCTCGCACAAAACGTATAGAGCCTGAGAAGGCTAAACAAAGTGGCATGAAAGGAGCCTGAAGAGGCTGAACAGTGTGTGGTCCAGAGTGTATGTCTGCTGGTGTAAACATGAATGCGGCTTTTACCATATGAAGCCTGTAAGGCTGAACATTGTCAAGATGCTTGTGCAGTGATCCAACCTGCGATGGGTGCAAGCTTTACGAATGCCTTGTCACAGCGCTCATAAAAATCTGAAACAAGCCTGATAAGGCTGAGCTGCAACCAAGCCTAAAGAGGCTGACTCAATGCTCTTTAAAAGCGCACACAAATACATCTGCTACCTCGAGCTACAAAGCACCCCGCAACCTTTTGGAGGATTGTGTTTGGCTGCTTCCGGGACTCCAGCAACACACATGCATTGTGCTCTGACATGTCTGGTGGACTTTTTCCCATTGAGCTTGTGCACCTGCGCCCTACTCACATTCCTCATCTTCCTCATCCTCTTTGGACAAGGCAGAGTATCTGCCAGACTTCTTATACTGCCTTTTGCTGCTAGGTGCTGCTGGGCAGTCTGCTTTCAAAAACTGGAATACAGCACTGAGCTGGCTCTCATCCAGTGCAACTTGGACATCATTTTGCTGCATCCTTTTGCCAGGACAAAAGACCTTGACATCAGTTCCGAAAATATCCACAGTGACAACACAATCCTCCCTCTGCCTCTTCTTTGAAGGAGCATTTGTTTCTGTGGGATTGCAATCACCGCCGCCAAATATATTGTCTTCCTCCTGCTCTGCTTCTTCCAGGCAGACGTTCTGCCAAGCCGCCAGCCTCTTGGCTTTCAGCTCCTGCATCTTAGCACCATTGGCTAGGGAAGCATTCTTGGGCAAGCGGCAGGATGAGCCACACACCAGCTTGGCAATCTCTGGCTTGGAGCCTCTGAGCTTCAGGAATGTGGTGCCATCAAAATCTCGCAGTAGCTCTGCAGGAATTGCTTGGGTGGTTCCATCAAAAGTCAAGGCAACGGCCCTCGTGATTTCCACCTTCCCAGCCATGGCTGGGCAGTGGCTAACTAAGAAGCACCCACCAGCCTATTGGCGCAGATGCTGCAGCAGACAGCTGGGGCGTCTCAGGCATCATGCGCCCAAGGTGCTTAAGCCTGATAAGCCTGAAAAGGCTAAGGAACCCACTTGTCACAAGCAATGCCAACTAGCCTGCCAAAGCCTGAGCCGAGCCCTGAACCTGGTGAGCCTGAAAAGGCTAAGCCAAACAGCCTGCCAAAGGCTGAGCCCTGACCCTGAGCAGCCTGAATAGGCTAAGGAATCAGCCTGCCGCAGGCTAAGCCAAACAGCCTGCCAAAGGCTGAGCCCTGACCCTGAGCAGCCTGAATAGGCTAAGGAATCAGCCTGCCGCAGGCTAAGCCAAACAGCCTGCCAAAGGCTGAGCCCTGAACCTGATGAGCCTGAAAAGGCTAAGGAATCAGCCTGCCGCAAGGCTGAGCCAAACAGCCTGCCAAAGGCTGAGCCCTGAACCTGAGCAGCCTGAAAAGGCTAAGGAATCAGCCTGCCGCAGGCTAAGCCAAACAGCCTGCCAAAGGCTGAGCCTATAGCAGCCTGCCAAAACTAACGAGCTTCCAACATGTGACCAAGACTGGGTGCACACAACGCAACTCCTTGCAAGCCCATGCAATGCTTCCAAGAAAGCTTGCAGGCACAGCTTGCGCCCCTTTATTCAGACACACCGTTATATGCTGCAGCTTCATGCTGAAGACTTCTTTGCCTTCTTCCCACAAGCACTGTCTAGCATTCTGGACGCTGAGTCCAAAAGCAGCTCATCCCCTCTGTCAAGGGGCCTCTTGTTCCTATACAGTGGAATTATAATGCCGTCCTTTTTCATGCTGGTCAGTTCCATGTTGCCAGCTTCGCCTTCAGGTGCGTGCTTGATGAAGTTGAATGGCACAAATAGCCCAGCTTCCTTTCTGAAATCCACTTTGCAAGGCGCAATCTGAAACTTAGTTTCCAGGCCAGGGTAAGTCAGCACCACAACATTCTTTGCATTTTTGTCAGGCTTTGCTTCCACCACTGTCCCCAAGGGTAACAACTTCAGTCCACCTCTCTTGACACTACTGCTGGCAAAGATCTGGTTGCTGCTTGACATCAAGACTTCAGGCTCATGACTCCTGGGATGGCTTGCAGGCACGGTAAAGCAACCCTCGCAAAGCAACATGTAACAATTCCTAAAAACACTTGCCACTAGCATGTCTTTCCAAGGCAGGTTGCTCCAAGTACAAGTCATAGATGGCAGTTTGCAGCACTGCCTTGGCTTTGTCTACCTGGAGCTGCTCTGAATTCGCTGGCTGCATCTTCGTCAAAATGCTGCCGTCAATCAGGGCAGGCTCTTTCGAGTAGCAGACTTTCCAAGTCTTTAGCTCATCATGCTGCACATCCACTGTCACAGGGCTGCCAAACAGAGGGGCGTGCGTCATCTTGGCAAAAGAAGCCTGCATCTCAGTGAATTTGAAAATTTGGCCAGGATACTTTGCATTGGTGTAGCATTTGCCAACTTCCAAGTGAGGGTTGGCAGACATCGCAATGAACTTAGGGTCTGCTGTGTTCTGCAAAGGGACAGGGGGTTTACTGCCAGAAGATGCAGCACCACTGGCTGCAAGCGCAGCAGGAGCAATCTTGCCATCCTTCACCATGGCAGACCAGTCCTCTGAAAACAGAGTGTTGATTTGCTCCAGGCTGTCATAGGACTTCTTCTCCCTGCCTTTGGCCTGCTTGTTCAGCATGAACAGGACCAATCTGCACATAAACCTTCCCAAGGCCAAGCACTTCTTGTCCCATGCCAAGCATGGTGTCTTGGATGCCAAGTTCCAAGCATTCACCAACAGCAACTCTGCCTTACTGACCATGCTGCCGAAAGCCTGGCCTTTGAGCTTGTCCACATCTGTTTTGCTCAACAGCCTACCGTAGCCATCTCTCTGGACAGCTTTGGGCGAAGTAAGCTGTGTGGCAATGAGGGCTGTCCTCAGCATTGGGTAAGTTGTTGAGCTGCTTCTCACCACATGGCTGAGAAATTCCTCCGCCAGCTGTAGCGCACCTCCAGCTTGTCTGCCTTACACAGCTCACAGCAAACCAGCCTTGGTATTAAGTTAATGCAAACCAGTCACTGATGGACTCTGCAAGCTTCACCAAAGGGAACTCCTCACCTCCACCATACTTTGCTACCCATTGAGCAATCATGGGCACATAGTGAGCCCTGAGTGGCATGCAGGCTGCGGTCTGGGCAATGGCAACATCCAAGTCCTTGCTCCTGCTGTACCAGAAAGCCAAGCTCATTGCTTGCTCCATCTCCGTGGGCGTGCTTGCCACCTGTTGAGAAGTGTTCAAGCTGCCTTGCAAGAACCCGGGGAGCCACTCAAGGTGTTCTTCCACTTCTGCGCTGATCACCGTCCATGTCCAGCCTTCCTTGATCAAAGCTTCTAAGACCGGGTCTGCATACTTTGAAAGCAAACTGTCCAAGGTCAGCAGGCCATTGTTCACTCTGGCAAGTTCTTCGTGCTCTGTGCTGCAAGTGCCTGCTGCCACTGTTTTCAAAAACATGCCCACATGGGAGCAAGCCACTGTCAAATATCTTTCTGTGGAGAGCACTGGGGCAATTTTGTTCTCTGACGCGCTTACCAGCTCCAGGTTTGCCTGCAGTTGCGTCTGCTTCTGGCCTGGCTCCTTTGCCATTTCAAAAGCCAAGGAGTCACTCAGCTTGTCCACCAAGCACCCCATGGTCAAAACCATGGCTCCTTTGGCATGCATGTCAAAGCTGTTGAGCATGGCCCCAGATCGGTTGCTGGGATGCACCAGCAACTGCACAGGCTTCACCTTCTGCTCCCACAGCAAGCCTGCAGCTTGCAGCTTGCTCAAAATGACCTGACACTTTCTGTTGATCTGAAGCCCTTCATCACATCTCACTGCTATAATCTCTGCTTTCAAAGCATCATCCATGGCATGGGGCTGCAGCACTAGCAGCTTGGTGACGGCTGCCTTGTAATGTCATGCTTCGCTTGCTGGTCATGAAACTCTGCATGTTCCTTGTGCTGCGCATGTGCTGGGCAGGTGCTTCTTGCTGCTCCTCTATAGTTGCACAACTCCATGAAGCACTGAAAGCATGCATGCAACACAAGCCTGCGCAGGCTGAAAGCCGCAGCAGCTCATGGCTTCTAGACAAGAAGGCTGAGCCTGTGAAGGCTGAAAAGAAACATCAGAAGCCCAAGGGGCTGATAATGGTGCCACACGCAAGGAGCATTGCAGCATGGCAATTCCAAAATACAAGCTCAGCGATGCCCTGTTAACTGCGAGCCTGTGCAGGCTGATAACAAAACCATAGCCCAATGGGCTTACTATCAAACAAAATGAGGCAGCAAACTGCCAAAGCTGCATGCCTCAAAGAGGTGCGCAAATCATATGCTAAAGGAATCCCAGACCGGTACAAACAACATTTGAGATTGCTTTGGCCCTTTGCGGCACTATTGAAGGCAAGAACAAATCATACCTTACTATTACCTTACTAGCCCATTAAGAAGTGTGCTAAGCAAAAGTCAAAAGTTAGCTAATCCTGTAGCTAACTACTTATAAACTAGCTACTTTAACTAGTACACTTACACATGTTAGCTATTTTTTATGTAAGAGCATTAACTCAATCAGCACTTTACGCTGTTTATAAGCACTTACAACTTGTTACTAAGGCTTTACTTGACTTTTACAAAATATTTAGCAGAGGCAGTAACCATGGCAAGTCACTATTAAGCACACAGCCGATCCAAGTAAACCAGGGCCAGCACACCCAAGTGCTCTGGCGCGAGCGGCGCCAGTAGCCGGTCCAGGGCCATATCACGTGGCGTGCAACAAAAGAAACGGAAAGCTACAGCTGAGGGTTTGGGCCACACAAAGAGAGTTTCTATCCCTGGCGGCTCACATGGCGGGCGCAAGCAAGAAGCACCAATGTCGCGCGCCACATTTTGGCTAGAAGGAAAGGCCTTGCTGTTGCTCGTGCCATCATGTGAATTATAAGCCGATCGCTGAGTTTGCCTTGCAAACATGGACACTGCATCATATAATATAGTACGGTCATGCCACGCAAATTCGCTATACTCCTGGACTCATATTATAGCTTAGCGTGTCAGCGCTAAGCTCCGAAGCCACCGTGGACGCCAGCGCCGGCAGGCAGGGCTAGGCCTGGTGCGGGCAAAGGAGGCGGGCTGGCAATTTGCGTCGGGGACACCGCATCTTGCGGCAGAGCCAGCCCCCAAGACGTTAACGCCGTCTCCACAGCAGCAGCGCTCCACTCCTCCCACTCCACAACCGATGTTCTGGATGGCTGCTCGGTCGAACTCACAGTCGTCGCCTTGTAGCGCTCATAGCTGGGAGTGCTACTGTCAGTCAAACCGAACAGACTCAGTAAGTGTTTCAGGATAGGCTGGTTGATGGCAGAGCATGCGTCGGCCTGGTCGGAAAGAGGCCGCTTGACAAAGTACCAGACTGGCCGGCCACCTCCTGGGGTTGGCAACGTGTGCACAAGCTTGCCGAGGTACACAGAGGCGAGCAGGGCGGACGCCGCAAGAGCTGCGAAGAAAGCCGCGCCGGCGCCTTTGCCCCCATTCTGCTTCACCGTGTCGAAGACCTTGTCCCGCACCTGACGTGAGCCAGTGAAAGAGAACCAAGCCGAGTTGCTGCGCAGCACCTGCCCAGCAATGGCGAGGAGCGTATCCAGCGACAACTGGGAACCTTCGGTCTGAAGCAAGGCACACCACTCCGCCACCGGCGCCTTCTCCACGACGTCAGCGAACTCCCGGTTGAAGGAGAGCCCGCCCGCCGTGGTCAGCCTCTCTGCAGTGTCCAGCAGAGTCACGGCTCGCCGTGCCACCTTTGGAGCTCTGCTGGCTGTTGCATCGGGGTGAACGTCACGCAAGGGGGGAGTCCCTGGCTGCACAGGGCCTGGCGAATGCTGTGAAGCATCGACATCGGCGTCTGGCATCTGACGCCGTAGATCGAGCTTCGCAAACACCTCCTCGCAATGGTCCGCGAACCAGTATGCGAACTGGACCGTGCTCTTGGGCACTTTCTGGGGCAGTGCGAACTTGCGAGCATACTCGGGGTCCAGCATGCCCACCCCAGCAGCCTGCATGTCAACGAAGTGCGTGCACAGATGGTTGAGGTAGTGCACAGCCAGCACCATGCGGTCGTACTTGGTGCGCATCTTTCCATGATGCTTGGCCTCCTGCGATGAGCGTGTGAGCAGGAGGCGATCAAACAAGATGTGAACAACGGAGAAACACTTGACTGGAAAAAGGAAAAGTAGCCTTTAGGTGTCTCCTCTTGTTGGCCGGGAACCAGAAAGCAGCTGCGCTGCTTCTCTACACGGAAGTCGAACTTCTGGTCCACAAGGTCTTGGGCACCGTCGTCTGAGGCCGCTTCGTACAAGTCCCCAGGAGGCTTGCCCTCTAAGGCCAGAGCACGATCGCGGTCCAGGCTCCAGTGGAACAACGGGTAGAGTAGGGCAGACAAAAACACTTCTGGCTTGAATCCTGTCTCAGGCGGTAGCTTGTGGCAGGCCGCTTTGATATCCCGCAGCCTGAGCCAAGTCGGCGGCGCAAAAAGCACCGTCAGCCGCTGGCGCAGGCCAAACCAGTCGCTCTCCAAAGCCTCGACAAGCTCTGGGATGTGGCCACCGGCGACAAAGGAGAAGAATGGCTCTTGCACGCAAAACCCTTTTCCCGAAGACATCACCGGGCGGTCCCACGTGACATGGTCCCACAGCTTCCCAGGCACGGCCTTGTCAATGGCGCTCTCCTGCGCTAGCCAAGAAATGATGCCATGCACCTCTGGCTCCACAGCAAACATGGCTCCCCGGTTTTGTGTCTGCAACGCTGCAAAGCCAGCAGCAGCGAGAGAACCGCCGCCAGCCAGGCCTTTCCTCTTCGGAGGGGCCACGACCTTGGCCGGCGCATCTCCGCCCTCTTGAGACGCCATCTGGGCTCGAGCTTCCGCCAGTGCAGCAGCCTCCTCAACTGCATTTCGACAAGCATAAATGAGCTCCCATGCTTTCGTGACCATCTTGATGATGCCAGATGTGTTGGTGGCACCAGGGTGAATGAGGCACGCCCAAATGGAACCTGGGATAAGAATGCTCTCGCGCAACTGCAACCTGTCCCGCGGACTGAGCTGCGGGACCCCCGCTGCGGCAGCTAGCAAGAGCCAGGACCAGTCAACGCATTGTGTGTTGGAGAGCAGCTCCATAGTTGAAACCACTTGCGGCAGCAAGGACCTGGCCTTGTCCTCATCAGCCGGAGCGCAGCGGCGGACGGCTGCCAGTTGCTAGACGGGGCCGCGCAGTCCTGCTCGGACTTGCGCTTCTGAGGCGGCATGACCAGGCGCAGGTGTGGCTTCTCAACGGTATAGCTTGAGAAAGAGAAGTACAAGAAAAGAGTTTGCTGGCAGCAAACAAGCTCTACACAAGGTTCATTACATATTGGCTTGTCAGCAACACGCGCTCTGCAAAACGAAGACACTCCAGCCTGCATGTCGAAGCCGGCACAGGCGCCGGTGGCGCAGTCACTGCGAAGTGCACCTGAGCGCGCGCCCGGACCATTGGAACTCAACACCAGAAGCCGGTGGCGCACGTGCGTGAGTGCGTGCATGCACGTGCGCGCGTGAGTGTGTGGGTGGGCGCGGTAGGTACGTGGTGGCGTGGCGGCGTGTGTGTGTGTGTGTGCGTGCAATCATTGTGACCACGCTTGCAGCATTCCATAAGGGCTGCAAGCAGACTGAAAGAGCATGCGTGGCAGCAACGTCTTCCTTTTCTTGCAGGAGTTGCCAGCTCTAGTCAGCTGCGGGCGCAGGTGTCGCCTTGGGTGCGGTTGTGCACGTGGCTGTGTGGGTGTGCGCGCGCGTGCGGCATTGCGTGTGCACGTGCGTGCGTGCATATGTGTTTGTGTGTAAGTGTGCGAGACGGCTTGCTTGCTCGCTTGCTTGGTCGGCTAGTTGGCTGGCGGCTTGTTCGTTTCAGCCCTACACGCGGTCCTGGCACCTTAGCAGCACAAGGCCGAGCAGGACAAAGCCAGTTCCTAGCTGCCAGGCGGCTTCAACTCTAGAGCTTCTCTCCCAAAAACAATGCGTCGCCGGGCCCCAGCTCCTGCTGGCTGCGGCAGCGGGGTTCCCGCAGCTCTGTCCGCGAGACAGGCGCAGCTGTGCGAGAGCATGCTCATCCTGGTCCATTCCGGTGCGCGTGCCTCATTCACCTGGGCGCGCTTCTGGCGTCATCAAAATGAGCTCCCAAAGCCTGGGAGCTCATTTACGCTCGTCGAAACGCAGCTGAGGAGGCTTCTGCAGTTGTAGAAGCTCGAGCCCACATGGCGTCTCGAGAGGGCGGAGACGCGCCGGCTCAGGTCTCGGCCCTTCCGAAGGCCTGCTGCTCTTTTTGCAGCATCGCAGACATAACACCGGGGGAGCCATGTTTGCTGTGCAGCCTGAGAGGTGGCGTAGGAGAGCGCCATTGACAAGGCCGCGCGTGGCAAGCTGTGCAACTATGTCACGTGCGACCGCCTGGCGATGTCTTTGGGGAAAGGGTTTTGCGTGCAAGAGCCATTCTTCTCCTTTGTCGCCGGTGGCCACATCCCAGAGCTTGTCGAGGCTTTGGAGAGCGACTGGTTTGGCCTGCGCCAGCGGCTGACGGTGCTTTTTGCGCCGCCGACTTGGCTCAGGCTGCGGGATATCAAAGCGGCCTGCCACAAGCTACCGCCTGAGACAGGATTTAAGCCAGAAGTGTTTTTGTCTGCCCTACTCTACCCGTTGTTCCACTGGAGCCTGGACCGCGATCGTGCTCTGGCCTTAGAGGGCAAGCCTCCTGGGGACTTGTACGAAGCGGACTCAGACGACGGTGCCCAGGACCTTGTGGACCAGAAGTTCGACTTCCGTGTAGAGAAGCAGCGCAGCTGCTTTCTGGTTCCCGGCCAACAAGAGGAGACACCTAAAGGCTAGTTTTCATT